TGAGCAAACCTTAAGAACACAGTTCTATGGGTACAGAGAGTGGCTTTAGCCCGTGACCAATGACCAGCACAGGCTTCATGAATGAAGGTTCGAAATGTGAGAAACCTTTAGGGAGTTTTGAATTAAAGAGACAAGACTCTAATTACCTTTAAACCAGCTTCAGGACAGCTCCTCCTAGCTCCAGCCTCCAGCCACCTATTGTGGTAGCGAGGTTTACTGAAGAGGCTAGCAAGAGAGAGAACACGCCAGGGAGTGGACTTTTATTGGGGAACAAAAAATTCTGGGGAAAACCCCATCCAATGAAAATTAAGGGGGGCAATGTCCCAAGGTCAGGGGCGATGATTGGGTCTTCGGAGTAGTGGTCTGACACGCCTCCGCACAGATAAGCCCTCAGACCTGAGAAGGGTGGGAAAAGCTTTGGACACAAGATGTGCCTAAGCGCCTCTCACCCAGCCAGGGAGATAACTCAAATCACGTGAGAGGATGGCCTCCCACAAGTGGGCTTGCTCAAACCTGAAGATGAAGGAGTACAAGTCGAAAGAGGCTTCCTGAAAGCAATGGATCCTGAGTTGAATCTCAGAGGACCAAGGGTTAGTGAGCCAGAGACTGGAAAGGCAGTTCCTGCAATGTGCAGGGCCATAGAGGTTGCCCAGCCCTGGGACTATGGGGCAACTGTAGGGGTCAGCCTGGTGAGATCAGGTGGACACATGAATGATAGGCCTGGCCTTGTTAGGATTCTACCCTGATGGGAGCAGGAAGCAACTAGAGGAAGGAAGACATAGATCTATGCTATTGTAGAACTCACTAGGGCTTCTATTTGAAGGTTGTGTCTGAGTACAAATTAAAGTAGCAGTCTGCTGAAATAATCTTGGAGAAGGAATAGAAGGGAGGATAGGACTCTTTTGTTGAACTAACAGTGATTATGTACATGAAGAAGAGGTGAAATATTGTGTTTGGGGTAGATAGAAAATTGTTGAGATTTGGAGACTGCTGACAATTGAGAGTGACATAAAAGAAATCTAAAGGTAGCAATGCTGCTGCTGCTGCTGCATCCCACCTAATACTTATTAAGTGCTTGTGTACCAATTCCTGTGCTAATTTCTTCCCATGTCATTGTCACTTGATTGCCAGCTCTGTTTCAACACAACTCAATGAGGTAGAGACTATTTTTATCCATATATATATATATATATATATATATATATGGGAACTGTGACCCAGAGTTTATGGAGTAGTCAAGCCTTGACCTAGGGCAATTTGACTTGGAAAGTTGCACTCTTAATTGTATCTTGTACTGCCCTCAAGTTCAGTTTGTGTTGGCCAGGTGGGTGATGGCACCTCTCCCCCAGTCTGAGGATATAGGAGGAAAATGGTTGATGGAGGGGAAATTGAGTTAGGACAAGTTGAGCTAGAGACACAGTGGATTATTCTGTGGTAACCAATGGGTATTTATTTGCTATTCAGGAGAGCAGCTTCTTGGGCTGAGGATGGAGCTCAGTGGTAGAATATTTGCCTAGCATGTATAAGACCCTGGGTTTAATCCCTAGCAACATACAACACAGTTTTTTTTTTTCTTTTTAAGAAGACAAGTTGGAGAGACATTGGCCTACAGACAGTAGTGGAAGTCATGGCGATGAATAAAACAATGTAGGAGAGAGCATGAGAGTAAGGAGAGAAAACAATTAAGAATAGGACCAGAAGACACCAAAGAACCAAACACGTCCTTTGGCAATGGACATCAGGAAGTGAAAGTGGAGCCCTTAGTAGCATAAAGGAAGAAACACAAGTTCAGTGACTAGGGGAGAGGCAAAAAATCTACTATTCTAAGAACTTGGCACTACTAGTAGTAGGAGAGAATACCAAGAGAAGGAGACCAGGAGTACAGAAAGCCTTTTCTTTTCATCATTAAGATGAAAGAGATAGCAATGTTAGAGGTTAAAGAAATGGAGTTAGTAGAAAGGATATATAATAATGAGTGGGAAAATTAGTACAACCACTTTAGAAAGCAGCATGGAGATTATTCAAAAGACTAGGAATGGAACTACCATGTGACCCAGCTATTCCATTCTGGTATTTATCCAAAAGATGTAAAACCAACATACTGTGGTGATATGTGCACACAGATGTTCATAGTGGGTAATTCACAACAGCCTCATTATGGAACCAGCTCAGGTGTCCATCAACAGATGAATGGATAAATAAAATGTAATATATATATATATATATATATATATATATATATATATATATACACACACACACACACACACACACACATATACAAACACATATACATTATGTGTGTGTGTATACAAACACATATACATAATGGAGTTTCACTTAGTCATAAAGAAGAAACTATGTCATTTGTGGGTAGATGGAAATGGGAAACATTATGCTAAGTGAAATAAGCCAGACTCAGAAAGTCAAGGATCAAATGTTTTCTCTCATACGTGGAAGCCTGAGAAAGAGAGATAAAGATATACACACACATATTTGAGGAGAGAGACAGAGGGAGAGAAAATCTTTAGTCTAACACTAAAAAGAGGTGGGGGAATCTCACAAAAACAGAATACCAATAGAATAGAGGAAAGGAATCAAGAGGGAGGGAGGAGGAGAGAGTATAGGGAATAAAATCTACCACATTATGCTGTGTTTATACCATAATGAATCTTGTGTGTGTGTGTGTGTGTGTGTGTGTGTGTGTATAATTATAATGCACAAATTAAAATAACAGCAATAGAAGGGAGAAGAATAGAGTAAGTGAATCATTAGAAGATGGGAAAGAAAAGGTGGGAGAAAGGGAAGGTACAAGGGAATGAAATTTATCAAATTATGTTATGTGCATGTACAAATATGGTACACTGAATACCACTATTATGTAGAATTATAATGTACCAATAAAAAAATAACAAGTGGGAGAGAAGTGATGGAGTGACATACCTAGAGGGTAGGGGTATCAGCTTTCAGAAAGAATAGGAATGTTTTGATTCCAGAGAAAAGTATAGGTTTGAATCCATTTCAAACAGTACACAAGGGCTTTAGAAAGGTGATATTTGGCTAACAGCTCCAGGCACCATGTTCTGATATCTATTGCTGTGCTTTCACTAAGGCACCCTTCCTATGGGTTGCCCGAAGTCAATGACTGAGCATGGCAGGTATATAATTTCCAAAGAGCCCACTTCTAGGAGATACAGGACCGACTCAAGGATCCCCTAGTGGCCTTGCTGAACCTTCTGTAGATTGCATAGTGATCTTGGCACTTTCACCCAACCTTCCTCCCCTCTCCCCTTAACTGGGAGGTCAGAACTGCATTGTGTCTGTTTGGCTCACTATGGCATTTTCCTAGTTTGTATCAAAGGAATTTTTCTTAAAATCTTTGTACATTTAGTCTGCTTCATAGAGAATCCAGACTCACATAGCCACTCATAGGCACAAAATGGATCAAACTCTAAAGGTTGAGCCAGGGAAATACGGATCCCTCAATAACAGATGTTGACTACAGGGAGACTATAATGGGTCTGAGTGTGAGAGTAAAATGAGAAGTGCAGGATTCTGGTCACTTTATCACAGATGTTTGCACTGGGATCCAACACAGGCACAAAGTGACTTTTAGGAGGTCTAGGCAGATATGGCCACATGAAGATGGGTGTGAATATAGATAGACACAGTGGTAAGGGGATGACAGGCAATGGGGGAGAAGCCAAAGGTGTTCCCACAGAATTATCTAAGAGTAGGAAGTGAAAGTCAGCTACTGAGAATATGGCCAGTGGAGTGGTATCTTGTCAAGTGAAGGAAAATGGTTGACTGAAGGGGAAAGGACAAAATGAGTTTAGGACAAGCTGAACTGGAGACTGGATTATTCTGTTATCCAAAGGCCACATTCATTTGCTACTTAAGATAGGGTTTCCTCCAGTTTTGGAAAAATTACTATGGGAAAATGAAGACAAAACTGATAATGGATGTAATGAAGGGAAGCAAGTGGGAAAGAGGTTGGAGTAGGAGGGTGGGAAAATACCGAAGGGCCTTTTATAGAACCTGGGATGATCTTTGGATTTTATATTAACTGGTAAGGGAAGTAACTGGAAGTTTTTGAGCTGGGATACCACAAGATCTGACTATATCTGAGAAAGGCCATTTTGGTCACTGTAATATGTAAGAACAGAAGAGTTTAGAGGCTTCTGCAGTCATGCAGAAAGGAGATGATATGGTTTTGAGTAGAGTGGGACTAGTACTGATGCTGGTACATGAATAAATTTCCCTCTAATGACTTCTTTTCTGCCAGTAAAATATGAAATAAGGGCATCAACATAGAAGGGGGCTGAATGCATAGACGGGATTGTGCTTTTATCTACGTAATGGATGGACACTGGCCCACTGTTATTCACTGCTTATCAGAAGTTAGAATTTACCAGAAAAGCCAACAGTCTGGAAACTAGGAATATGCAGTTCTTAATTGTACCATATGACTGACATGTAAATATAGTTAAGAGAATGGCCAGATACTTATTAAGCCGTTTAAATGGGACACTGGACCTACAGAGGTAAGGGAAAAAAGGTAAAAAAATTAAAAGTTATAAAAATTAAAGTTTAAAACTGCATATTTAATGAAAGGCTTAAATCTATGCACAGCTTCATAGAGAATCCAGACTCACATAGCCACTCATAGGCACAAATGGATAAAACTCTAAAGGTTGATCCCACTATCCATATTCTTTTAAATCACTTTATGTACTTTCCTTGGTAAAAGATCAGTACTAAGCTTATCTTCCCAATGAAGTATTTACTTTATTTCTTTTTGAAGCCATTAATTGCCTTAATTTCTATTTTGCAGTAGTTACTGACATGTATTCCTTGTTTAGAGACTGTCCCTGATTTTTCAGTTCTGTAAAATTCAGTGTGTGTGTGTGTGTGTGTGTGTGTGTGTGTGTGTCTGAATGTATGGGCATGTGCACTCATAAAAAGACAGTCCACATAATGAAAACTTTTTTTAACAAATATTTGCCTTTTAAAACAAAAGATGTGCCATATATTTTTATTAAATCATAGAAAACATTTGTATACAAAAATGTCCTCTTTGGGGAAACTGGAATATTAAACATCTGGGTAACAAAACAGTTGAAAGATACATCTTGCTTTAATCTGAGACAAGTGTTAAGTGGTCACATTTACTAAAATTTTTTTAAAAAGTTGAGATAATTCGTAACAGGCTTTCCACCATTAGGCTAAAGGAATAATATCTCTTGTAACCCTCAGTTTTCTTTAAAGATGTTTTTATTACTTAAATCAACATGAGTTTCAAAGACAATACTTGGATTCTGAATACAAAATCTATTTTTTAACCTATGCAGGCTTTTGAAACCTATAAATGCTGGATTTTAGGAGATGGTCTCATTCCACAGGGCTAAGTTTCCTTTCTACAACAGCAAAAAATGTATAATAGTGTAGAATATATTTCAGAATAAGTTAAATATTAAGACAGAGTATGGCAATAATGTCCTACTTTTCTTTCTACCAAATAAATTTCAAAGTTCATCCTAATCTTATACATTTACAAAAGGGTGAAGACTGAGGGATCCACTGATACTGAAAATATACAAAAACCATCAGAACCATATCCTCTAAATACTTTGGCGGAATATATACAAATGGTTCTGCCAGAATCATACTTGTATCCATTCCACAGGGAATCAAAATGAACACACTCTGAAGTTTACCAAATGAAAATGGGCAGTGGTTTTGAAATGTTGTCACTTGTTCTGCTACTGAGCAGAGATCCAGAGGTGACACTGACATCTGCACTCACAGCAAATAATTACATAACAAACACAAGTTAAATATTATCAAAACCATTTTAAATTAAATTGAAGACCACTACTTTTAAGTGCATGAAATATTTTCCCCCTAGTTTCTTAAATGCATCAGGAATCAACAAGGAACACATTAGAGGCCAATCCGCTTCTGCTGAGAAGTCCCAGGAGTAAGATATGAGATCTTCAGGGGAGGGAGGGAGCATTATCCACTCCAAATGGAGGCATGATTTCAGAAGGTCATTTTTCCAAAATCAAGCCTGGATTTCAGACTCATTAAAGAAGGAACTGAAAAATGGAATCTTTGGGACTGGTGTCTTGTCCATGTGGCAATCTTTTCCAGGTGAACATTTCTTCCCCAACATCCTTAATACTGTAGGCCTCACTTGAAACCACCCCCAGGTCCTGGGCCCTCATTGTTGATCTGTAAGACCTAAAGCTCTCCCAGGAAATGTGTAAACAAATCTGGGGAATACGGGGTTTCTTCAAGGTTTCCTTATATCAGCAAAAAACCTCTTGGGCGAAGAAAAATTATAATAGGAAGAGCTACCCCAATTGTTGACTTTCCACAAGAGCTGTCTTTTGTTTATCCTGCTATGGAAAACTACATAGGCAAATCAAATACTTTTAGTCTGGCTTACCCAAAGAGTATTAAATAGTCAGACACATTTCTTTGGATTACATTATTCCCGAATTATGACAAATGCTTATCAGAGATTTTGGTCTACCACTTTGTTACTGGAGGTGATTTGGAGACAAGGCCAGACTCTTGTGCAGGTTGGGATTCTGGCTGTGTCTGTTTCTACTGCGAACAGATGAAAACATCGTGTTGCAGCCTGGCACTTTGCATTTGTGGAGCTGGCGGAGGTGCACAGTTTTATAGTGGGCCCTAAAGGTTCCTTTGTTACTGTAGGTCTTTTGGCAGAGGTGACAGGTTATGGGCAACCCAGAAGGCAAGCTGGCAAGACTCTGGTCAGCCTTCTCCATTAGGACACAGATGGGATATTCATCTTCCCCAGGGACAAGGCCTGGTCCTTCACAGTTCCCATCACTGTCCTCCATAAGCACAGTGCCTTCCTCACTCACCCCATCAGAGTCCCAGGAGGAATGGCTGCTGCTCTCTGACTTCATGCTTGAGGTAGTGCTCAAATCCAGGATGGTGCCCTCACTAGGGGGGCCAGAGTTGTAGCTCTCCAGGCTGGCACTGTGGACTTGGGTTATTGGGTAAATCAGACTGCCCATTCGACTTGTTCCCTTGAAGATGACAGATGTTTGGGATGCTTGCTGTGTGAAAGTCACATCCTGATAGGACTCCTTAGCCACATCTTTTATAAGGTAAGCTGCACGAAAATGGTCTTCACTGCTCTCCAGTGCTTCTTGGTTCAACACTTTTGGGTGGAGATTTAGATTTGAACTGTGTCTACAAGAGTGAAAAGATAGTTAGCAACCAGTTGGAATGTTTCATAAAGAAACACATTTCTCAGTAGAGAGACTTACTAGACATCAGGAAAAACTTGTGGAGCGAGCAAAGTGATGGTAAAGTGTTAGGTCCCTGTGAAATGTCCCTGTGTTTAGTGCATACTGGCCCAACTGTTATTCACTACTTGTCAGAAGTTAGCATTCACCAGGAAAACCAACAGTCTGGAAACTTTGGTTTTTACCATCAGATTAACATAGTACCTCATCTATAGAGAATGGCTAGACTACTTCAATTAGGCCAGTTTAAGTAGAACACTAGAAACAGGAGATCCTAGAAGAATATCAGTCACAAACTATAAAGACCTAAGCAGAGGATTTTATTTCAATGAAACCAGGAAATATTACTTTCTTGAACTGCACTAATACAGTCATTGAGTACCTGAAATGTGGCTAGCATCATTTATTGAAATGACAATATTTTAGAATTGAATTAAATGTTATTAAGACTTAGCTAACTTGTTTCCTTTTATATTTTAATGTAGCTATTAGACAATATTAAAAATTTCCTATCTGGCTCATATCATCTTTCTGTGGAATAGTGCAAGTCTAGAGCATCTGTACACACTTCTCAAGAAGCTCTACATGTGTGGGTTAAAATCTGGCAATAAATTGTGTGTATGCATGTAGATTAGTTCATATTTGCAGCATTTCACAATATACCAGACGGAAGTTTTGCAAATGCAGCAGTGTGAGCATACCACCAATCTTCTACCCAATGATTACTCCTAAAGGGCAGATAATGAACATCCATTATAACACATGCCTTTTACTCATATGTTATCATTTGGATGTAACTTGTAAATCAATGTTGTTCTTGTTTGGGGATCCCGTTAACTTCTGACAAGCAAAACTAACCTTTATGAAGGGTTACAATCTTATAGGGAACAGAAGAATAATCCCAAAGAAAATGCCTTTCCCAATACAGATCAGATTGTATGCCAGGGTCAAATTGGGAAAAACATTCTTACTAAAGTGACTAAGAATGGAATTTTCTTTTTCAAATCTCCTAAGATATGTGTGTATATTGGAGACTTAATAATATTTTATAAAACATATAACATTTACTATGTAATTTTTATTCATAATTTTTGGGGGACATAATCAAAATTATGCTCCTAGTTTACCCACTTTGCAAGCAGCACTTCTTAACTATAATTCTGCCCTGTGATTATGTCAGCATTCTGGGTTGAAGGGCTGGTATGTGTTGGTAGAAAACCAGACACTAGATTAACATATAGGTTCCGGTACACACAAGTGGTTACAAAAGAAAAAAAACAGACAAATATATTGACTGGAACCTTGTACAGAAAGGTCTCTACTGCAGCAAAGAAAACCTCTGAGTCTTTGCCCACCTAACTCTTGAGTATCCATGAATAATAAGAGCTAACTTATGAGCTCCTCTTCATCCTTCTTTAGCCACAGAAGGTTAATTACATTTCCCAAGGTTCCATGTCCCCTTATGACCAATAACTACCACGAATGCAAAACCTTTCTAACCCTCTGGACCATGTACCAGGCTTCTGTTTCCAAGACCTTACAAACCCTGTTCCCTTATCTTCCCTTCAAATTCTAGCTTCCCCTTCAACTCTTCTTCCTGGCTTCTATTTTAGTTGAGACCAGTGGTTCTAAAAGTACGGTCTGAACAATCCTAGTGGTCCCTGACTCTCTTTTAAGAGTTTTCAAGGGTGGTCTGAGCAATGCCTGTGGTTTCCCAAGTCAAGTGTTCATAATTAACATTCTATATACCCTTTTTTACTCTTATTCTTGGTGTATAGTGGAGTTTTCCAGAGGTTACTGATATGTGATATTACAACAGAATAAATGCGGAAGCAGATTCTTACATCCAGTTGTCTTCTAACTAAACCAGATAATAAAGAGATTTGCAAAAATCTCTTGCACCAAAGCCACTCATCTCCCTAATTTTGTGTTTTTGAAAATATAGTTATTTTTTCCTAAAAATGTTATTACAATAATATATACTTATTGTTATTTCAAAGTGACACAACAATTTTTTTTTGTTTTGGAAAACATTTTTTCTTAAAAATGCTATTATAACATGTTTATTGTTTTTTCAAAGTGATATAATGAATATTTTTTGTTTCAATTTCTAATATGGTAAAATATTGATAGCTATAAACCAAACAGAGAAAAACTCTTGAGGGTTCTTTGCTAAGTGTTTATAAAGAGCTGTGCAATCAAAACATTTGAGAGTTCCTGGTTTAGACGCATTCCTTCTTTCAGGAAGCTTCCTTAACTTCCCAAGGAATCTGGTGAGGCACCTTCCCCTGTGCCCACAGCAGCCTACATTTCTTCCACTGTAGCAGTTTTCATCATATTCAGCTGTAAATGATTTTTACTGTTTTGTCTCCTCTACTACTCTGAAGGCCTTGTGGGTAGGGATGTGTCCCTACTACCTAATACAATAAACATTTGTTGGCTAAATAAGCATTTAAGGTACTGACCCCCTCCCTCCCTGATGGGTCCTGATAATTGCTGCTGGCAGTTAACAGTGGCTCGAAGATGGAAAGTTAGTTGTCCTTAGAGAGACACATTTCTCATCTTTGACTCAGAAATGGTGGTAGGCTTGGGGCTGTCTACAAAGTCCCATTTAACATTGTATCATTTTAAGCATAGATTCTAGGTACAATGTATTCCAAGTTCTACCAGAGTTAATAGTTTTAAATTTAGAATGCAAGATATTTTCATGTTGTGGTGGGGGGCTCATATCTACAAACAGGCCAGAACATAAAAAATTAAATACATAAAAAAGTAAATATCAAATAAAAAAGTATCCAGAATCAATGTGCATTCTAATCTAGTGGATACTGAAGGCTAGAACAGTCCTGTAACTATCAAAGATAATCTGACTGATGATTACCTCTTCTTAACAACAGCTTATTCATGGACAAACATTTCTCCTTTGAAAGGAGAAGGACTAGTTCACTAATTAGGGTATCTTGGCGGTTTGGTTTAACATCCTAGCAACGGAAACAGGAATTTTAATATCTCCTGTGCTCTACCCTATTTGTTAAAGACAATGAGTATGTTCTTATGAACCCTATCCAGGAATGTGTGTGGGAGTCTGTGCATTTTCACCCTCTTAACAAATGTGGCATTACAATTTGGACTAGGTTAGTGGTTGTGTTAAACTGCTTCAAATTGAGCTTGTTTGAGCCAACATTTATGATACTACATGTCATCTGATAGCTGATCCTTTCCCTAAGTCTGTTAGGGTTGTTTTTTGGCATGCTTGCTCTTCCTTTTGTAGGGTGACCCGGAGTATGTTTAGGGACCCAAGTTCATGAAGAAAAGCATAAGCAAGATGGTAACACCAGCTTTGTGCCTCCAGAGTGATGAGACATGCTCCCCAGTTAGGCATAAACAGTTTGACACTGTGTATCATGAACACCCAGCATCTTTCAAACATACATCACAGCCCCCAATCACCTTTATTCTTTGATTTCCTAGTATTTAAGAAACTTTAATCAAGCAGCTATTCTTTCTTTCAAATGTATGTCTGTTTAACTAGAAATCAGAGAAAATTTTCACTTGATGGGCTTCATATTATGAAATTGAAATTAGACAAGTTTTGGGAAACTATAGTGATAACTTAAAAAGCCCCTTTCTTTGTCCTGAGTCAAATGGCTACTTGTCTTTTAACCAAGCTTCTGATGTGAGAACTACGAAAGTATTCCTTATCTCACACCTTTGGGCCTGATGTGTTTCTGAATTCAGAATTTCTCAGACTTCAGAAAGGTAGAATGATTTATATACTGAAATATTATGTTAATGCCCCTATAATAAATTCATTAACATTTCTGTACTAAATATACATAAAAGTCTGCACTAAGATAGATTAGAAAAAGATTACTAATAGCTTCATGTCATTTCAGGTCAGGTTTTATAGCCAAGAGAGTTGAGATTTTTGGAATTGAAAGTTTGTGAATGTGGAAATATGGAGATTCACAGAACAATGATTCTCACACTATGATCCCCAGAACAGCAACACCAGCATTGCCTGGAAACTTGCCAGAAATGCAAAATTGCAGGTTTCATCCCAGAAATTCAAGGGGTAGGACCCAGAAGTCTGTGTTTTAACAAATTCTATGGATGTTAAAGTTTAAAAATCACCACCTTAGAAAAAATAATTGCCAAAAGATGCCTTACCTGTCTCTGCTCCTGCGGGATGGAAAAGTGGCACTACAGCCCTCCACTGTGCATGTGTGTGTTTCTTTGGCATGCATATTTTTATGGTGCATTTTCACACTACAAGCATTTTTAAAGGTCTTTTTGCAGATGTCACACTGGAAGCGATTTTCTTCCTTCTGTCTTGCTAATGCATGCTGATCCATGTGTTCCAATTCTTTAGAATCTTCCAGACAAGGAAAAGTCATCCCCCTGTTTGACAAAGCACTGAAGAGTCCCCCAGCAAGTAGGCGCTGCTGTAGTTCCATGTAGTCAGGAAAAGGAACTTGGGACTCCATTTCAGGTGTGAAGTGGTTTTCACGGCCACCATCCTCCACTTCCCTTGGCACCATGGTCAACGCTAGCTTCTGCTCAGTCTCCCTCTCTGAATTGTGTGTGGCCTGTTCAGGGGTTCGGCTGACAGTTCCACAGGACTCTATCACTGAGTTAAGATGGCAGGGCCTCTCTAAGCTTCCTGAGTGTGTGTGCTGCTCCTCAGGTGTTCTGTCTGGCTGAGGACTGTAGTCCTCTGGCTCATCTTCACTGACCACCTGCAGGGGCATGTCTTCATCTGAACTGAGGTTGTGCCTTTTCTCATTAGCTATTTCCACAGCTTCCTTCTCTATTTTGATTGGCATACTGGACTTCCGGGATTTCTTCTTAGGAAGAATATCAAATGGCATTTCATTGGAAACCAGTTGTTCTGGGATTGAAGAGGACAGTAGAGGGAGCGAAGGCAGCATCCCAGGTGTATTTGCCAGTTCAGCAGGAGTAGCTGGACTACGGTAGAAAGGAAGGACTGGTTGGACTGTTTTTAGGTTGGGGAAAAGCACACCATTTTGTCCAATGCTGGAGAAGGATGGTTGGCCTTTGGAATCCTCCCCTGGGCTACTGTAGCTGGGTAGAGGCCCACAGTCTGGAGACATCACTGTGAAACCTGGGCGTTTGTAGTTCTCAGAGCTTGCCAGGCTAAGGCTGTTCCTGAGATCTTTGTCCCGGTTATTTCTGTTCATTGGCATGTGAAGTCGAGGGTTGGGGTTGGCACTGTGGCGGTTCCGGCTCCTGAGGGAGCTAAACACCATGTTACACCCTTCGATGGTGCACTTATGCTTGATCTTCAGGTGGACGGCGTTGTAGTGGATTTTCAGAGTGCCTTTGTCATAGAAGGTCTTCTCACATGCAGTGCAGAACACTCGGCCCTTCTTTGTGCTAAGGTTGGTCCTCTCATGCTTCACTTTGGCCTCAGGGGATAACTGTGTCCTTTCAAGTTTAGTGATTATGCTGTATGAGCTGGAGTCACTTGAACGGGCACTCTCTTCTTTTTGAATAACAGAATCTGGACAGTTTAAACATTGCTCTTTTTCAACCTGAAATGGTGTGGAACTAGAGGTTAAGAAGCTGCTGTCAGAGAAGGGCCCATGGATTTCCTGTTTGGGTTCCTGGCTTTGGTCCTGACCCTGTTCCAACATATATTGTTCAGGCAATGACCCTATCAGTGCAGGAGGCAGAGGGTTGAAGAACTGGAAAGGCAGCATGAAAGTCATGTTGCTTATGAGGTTCTCAAAAGGGTGTATGCTAGTGGGGTTTCCTTTGTCCATAGGAGTGGGGAGGCTAGAACTCCTGTGGCTGCAGCTCTCAATGAAAGCTCTGATATCTACATTTGCTGTGGAAGGAGGTATGATGATGGACTGTTCTTCTTTCTCTTGAATTGCCATGAGCTCAACTATGGACTTGGTCTCTCCAAAACGAAGGAACTGCTGCAAGGTAGCCACTTCTTCCTCGCTGGTCATGATGCTCCAGTGATCCAATACCTTCCCTGACGCATCCTACACCGAAATCAGAATTTAAAAGTGTGATCAATTTACTACTCTTTACGCATTCCTTTAATAAAGTAGTCATTTGATTAAGGTCTTCACTAGACTACAGAGAGTCTTTGTGCATTATCAGAAAAAGATGACCTCTCTGGATGAAAGTGTACAGGGCTTGTGGACTTCAGCCCCTGCCCACCTCACTCTACTCTCCTAGACCAGAAACTTTGAATAAAACATAAACTGCACAAATGTAAGCAATGATCTTATGACAGGTTCAGAAAAGAGAAGTAAAATTATATTACTCAAGCCCAAGTAAGGGAAATTCAGTTGTTATTTTTCACCTCATTTCAAACCAACTGATGTCTTACATGAGGCATAATCATTTTCCCCACTAAAATTAAAATATACATCATTTGAACAATAGTAACTTCTTTATCTAAAGAGTATAGATGAAGCAATCAGACTAGATATAGCTCAAGTATTCGTTTGTTGCAAGTTTAATAATCTTCCCAAGCAACTACAGAAAACAAATGAACCTGTATTGATCTATTGCCCATGCTCACAAAGCAGAGCTGTAATTACACTGGAGTGTTGGAGATCTTTCAAACTCTAGCAAGGCCTAACTTTTCCCAAAACTATAATAAATATTTTATCACAGAACATGTATTTGATGGCCTACTGAGATTTTTCACAGTGTATGTAAGAGTTTTGAAGACGATAAGGAACATAACATTATAAATTTTTCATGTACTAGAGGTTCAAGGTAATTGATTCCATATTTTTAATCCTAACTCTAGAAAGCAAGATTATTAGGATCATTAAATATTGATCTATGTCATAATGTAAGATCATAATGCTACTCTACATAAGTGTCTGTTTCTAGACTACAAGGGGTCCAGCACTAGAGGTGAGCAAATATATTTCCAGGATAACTTTATGGGTTTTAGAGTTAAGCAGAAGTGGGTTCAAACTACGGACTTAACATATACAGTGCAATGAATTTCAGCTAGACCTTTAAAAAAATACTCTGAGACTCTGATTTTTCAGTTAGAAAATGGTGATAATATATTTACTTCATAAAATTACTGGAAGAGTGTCAGGTATTTAGTTTTTGTTTTTAATGATATTGTCCAAGACTGAAGTTTATTTTAGCATTGGAAATATATTCACTTCCCATTTCACTGTAATTTTCACTGAATTTTCTAGTATAGTAGCAAGAAAAAAGTTCTGCAACTGTTTCATATCTTTTCAAAAGATTAATATAATTCATCTCAGGAAATATGTTCTTTTCTTGAGAACCTTGATTGCCTCTCTGAATATAAAACACGAAGGCTTACATCTATGGCATGGTCTGGGAAGAAAGGTTAAATTGTTCTGAAAATAAAGAACAGAAAAAGGTATGAAGGGAATGGAACATTGAAGAAAAGATGAGAAAATGTGAGGAAGACAAAAGAACTGCAGGGGAGGAGAGGTAGGGGGAGGAGATGAGGGAGGAGGGAGAGTTGAGGGAGGGGGAGGAGATGAGGGAGAGGGAGAGGGAGCATGATCACACATGTGTGAGAATGCCAGAGTGAGCAAGCAAGTGCACAAGTAATAGAGAACATATGAACAAGTGCAAGAACACAGAAATATTACAAGAAGTAGAGCCTAGGAAGGAAAATCAGCATTGGAATGCCAGAAAACTTTAAAGAACAAGATGGAGCTGCATAAATTGTAAGCTGCTTTCTGTGTGGTTCTGGAATGTAAGTTTCCTTTCTGACCGCAAATTCTCAGTAAAATCTGATATAGGTAGCATCTTGTGTCAGTAAGTAGTTTGAGAATAATAAAAGAACTGAAGGTACCACCCAATTGGGACAAATAGTTTACTATGTAAGAGGTAGCTTAGTGAAACCCACATAAAAAAAAATGTCATGGTCCCACAGCCTGAAGTTCCACAGATATCTTGGGAAGAGCAGAGGATTCCCCCCATAAAAAAATATTATGTAGGGGCATAAGTCATTAGAAATATTAATGGGAAAGATGACCACCAATGACTATTACTAGTAGGCAACTAGGTCATATCAGTTACCGGGGTACTAATTTCAGAACAGTGACCACGGTCACTGTACCTGCAGCACATATCCACGGATATAATCCTGAAGGGTCCAGTCCAAGGCATGCAAGATCTGGAGAACCTCATCTTGCTTCAACACACTGAAGAGCCGGTCCAGTAGGATTTTCAGGCGAACGGGGATGGCCTGCGTCCCATAGAGCATGAGGCTGCTGATATCAAACACCACATTGGACTGGACAATTTCCACCTGGCTTGTTGGATATACTGGGGGAATCCTCAGCTTACTTAGAGCTGAAAATAAAATTGAAGAAATATAATTTTGAAAAATTCTACATTTAGGAGAAGGACTATACAGAAAATAGACTGGGGCTAATTCTCAGTTATCTGTCTCAGTAGAAAGAACATGAATATGCAAATGATTAGTAGCCTTAATACCTATCAGGCTTTAAGTTATTCACAGGAACTTGTAAACTAAAATTGACCGGCTTTAAGGCTTTTCTCCCTTTCTTGAGGTATCCCTATGAGTGAAATTATCACAAATAGGGAAGGGACAGGGAAAAACAAAGGTGGCAAGTGCATAATCAGTATGGAAAATCAGGAAGCAAAGAATCTAGAGGTGAAGAATCTGGACTTAGGAATCTGGAAGATCTTGGTTTAAGCCCTAACCTACTGTTTTCTACTTGTGGGGTTTGACAAATTAATTCACCTAAATCCAAGATGTTCAGTGCAACAGCCACTAGTCACATTTGACTATTTATATTTAGATTAAAATAAATTTAAATATAAGAAATTCCATTCTTTGGTCACACTACTCCATAGTTACAAGCGGCTAGTATTGAAGGATGTCCAATTATAAATTTCAGGTAAACCATGAATAAGGGATATTTTTATATTAAAATTTTATTAGGGCAAACTGAAGCTAAAAAATTATTAGTCTATAACATTCCTATCAGTGCCAAATAAATAGCACTGAAATACCAGTTTCTGCATTTAGAATGGGGTTAATAATGCCACGTGTGGTGGTGCATGCCTGTGACTTGGGAGGCTGAGGCACAGGCTGAAGGATCACAAGTTTAAGTAGCCTCAGAAACTTAGTAAAGCCCTAAGCAACTTAGTGAGACCCTGTCTCAAAATTTATAAAAAGAGTGGGGGTATTGGGAATGTGGCTTAGTGGTAAAGTGTCTCTGGGTTCAATCCCTAGTACAAAAAAAAAAAAAAAAAAAGACTACTCTAGAATGGAGTTAATGAGATACCATATAAAGTTGTTAAAATTCAAAGAGATAACATGTAAAATCTGTCAGCCTGTTACCTAGAACATACTACTTAGTAGTTAGCTGCTATTCATAGATACTAAACCAGTCCCTGAATATCTGTAAGTTATTATGAGGGAACACTATAAGCCAAGAGAGGGGGAAAAAATAAAGTTACCATGAGCCACCCATCCATGTCTGCACTGCTCACACTGACGATGGTTTATTTTTCCAGGTTTGAAACTTTGGCAACTACAGTTCAGAGTACAGCTGATAGCCTGCAAAAGAGAACACATGTGTGCACAGCGATGTAAATGCTGTATGGAACATAACACTGCATTTATAAAACAAAACACATGCCTCCATTTAGCATCATTTATTGAGCAACAGTGCCCACTGTGGCAAGCCCAAAGGTGTATGTAGTACCTCGGAAAGGCAATCAACTGGCCCAGCACTCAGGAGACTATAAACTTCACAGATTTTCTACATATGAAAATGGACAAAAAATATCAGGATTTATAAGAAAAGATATAGCTTGGAAGGAAATATGCCACTTTGTTATTAAGAGCATAGAAAAGGTCAACAACCACACTTTTATCAAAGTCTCTAAGCTGACCACAGCAGTAACTCTGCACGGTATACAGAGGCCATCTTGGGATAAGTAAAATGGTGAACACTCTGAACCAAAAGTATTACAGGTATGGAATTTGTTACCCCCACCCCAGGATGCAGTAGAGGCTGAAAAGAGAAACAGATCTGAGAACATATAAGGGTTGACTACATGAGGATGATTTCCTGACCCCATTTACTGGAATATGTGGCTGTCAGAGACAGAGGTTGGAAGATAGAATCCCTGCATTGATGCCCCAGTTACATGTTATTGTGCCAGTTTGGTGTGGATGTGTAGAATATACAAAAATAAAACTGAATCAGAAAACAGAGATGTATATGTTCAACAAAGTTCTAGTGTTAAGAGCGAAGCTTCATATATATTTTTAAGATGAATTCTTGAAAGGAGATAGAGGCCTGAAGAATATAATCTATTATTAAAAAGAAAAAAGCCTTAAAGGAAATCTATCAGTGAGGTTCCTGGGAAGAGCCTTTGGGTAGAATCTACATGATTAAAGAGAGCCTTGAAACTGGGGAGACTGTGTATGTTTGGAAGAAGGAAGAAAATGCCTTACAATTATAGGTTGAGACCCCTAATCTGTTAATTGAGGAACTATGTGGCATTGCATGGAATACAGGGAAGGGAGAATATGCCAAAGATTTGGTAAACTCATTCCAAAGAGTATATCACCAGTCTTCCTTTAAAAATCAGTGGCTGGTGGGATTTTAAGATGGTATAGACACTTTGGAAAAGTTTATATAAAAGTCTTTTGGAAACAGTCTGACAGCTCCTCAAAAAGGTGAGTTTATAGACCCAGAGGGGTTGGGGTTGTGGCTCAGCAGTAGAGTGCTTGCCTTGAATGTGCAAGGCCCTGGGTTCGATCCTCAGCACAACATAAAAATAAATAAAACAAAGGTATAAAAGAAATAAATTTGAAAAAAATAATAGATCCAGAAATTCCACTCCTCAGTATATAGCCAAGAGAAGTGAAATATGTCTATACAAAAACCTGCACATTTTTTTCATAGCAGCATTATTCACAATAGCAACATTATTCAGCATTATTTCACAAAAAGTGAGAAGAAACCCAATATACATCAACCAATGAATGAATAAACAAATGGTATATTCATATAATGGAATATTATTTCCAATAAAATGGAATAAAGTACTGATATATGATACAACATGGGTAAAAACATTATGCTAAGAAGCCAGGTACAAAAAGTCACAGATGTTTATGGTTTGTATGTGTATGATGTATGTGTATGAAATATATGATTTCATTTACATAAAAAAGTGGCTATGAGGAGCTGTGGAGGGAAGGGAAGTGACTGTTATGGGTGGTGGTGGGAGAGTGTTGTTTTTATTCTGTTTACAAAAACAACTTCATTGAGATATTTGCTTATCATTCAATCCATGCATTTAAAGCATACAGTTCAGTGATTCTTAGTGAATGCATAGAGTCATACAACAATTATCACAATATAATTTTAAAACATTTCATCATCTCCAAAAGGAATATTGTGCACAAGTTTATAATGGATATGTTTCATTTCTCTTGGGTAAAGTCTAGAAGTAGAACTGCTGGATCATATACAGGTATACCTCATTTTATTGCATGTTCATTTACTGTGCTTCATGGATATACAATTTTTACAATTAGAAAGTTTGCAGTGGCCTGGTGAGGTGGTGTACATCTGTAATCCCAGCAACTCAGGAGGCTGAGGCAGGAGGATTGCAAGTTCAAAGCCAGCCACAGCAACTTGGTAAGGCTCTAAGCAACTTAGTGAGACCCTGTCTCAAAATAAAAAATGAAAAGTGTTGGAGATGTAGCTCAGTGGTAACGCCCTTCTGGGTTCAATTTATGGTACCCCCCCCAAAAAAAAAGAAGAAGAAGAAGAAAAAGAATGTTAGTTTGTGGCAATCCTATGTTGGATAAGTCTATTAGTAGCATTTTCCCAACAGCTCAGATGATTATTAGTATTTTTTAGCAATAAAATGTTTTAATTAATTGTTTTTTTAAAAACATAATGCTACCACACACTTAATAGTATGGCATAAACATAACTTTTGTACACTCTGGGAAACCAAAAACATTTGTATGGTTTGCTTTATTGTGATATTTACTTTATTCCAGTAGTCTAAACTGAAGTTCATATTTCTGGTATGCCTGCAGTAGCACAACATTTACCCTTCTAAAGAAATGCCTGTTTTTCCAAGCACCTGTACCATTTTAATTCCCACCAGCAATGTGTGAGGGCTGTGATTTCTCAGAACATCTTCACCAATACTTGCCATTGTCTTTTTTTTTTTTTTTAATTAGAGTCATTCAGGTGGGTGTGAGTGGTATCTCATTGTGGTTTTTATTTCCATTTCCCTGATAGCTAATGGTCAATCATCTTTCCTGTGTTCATTGGCCATTTGTATATCTTCTTTGGAGACATACCTGTTCAGATCTTTAGCCCATTTTTAGATTGGGTTGTCTTTTTTGCATTGAGTAAAGAGTTCTTTATATTTTCTAGATACCAATTCATTACCAAATATATAATTTGTTAGTATTTTCTTCCATCCTTAGACTATCTTTTCACTTTCTTGATGGTGTCCTTTAAAGCACAAAAATTTACAATTTGACCAGGGTTTCTTTTTTTTCCCCCCTTGGTGTCTGTGGATTACAGCCCAGGGCCTTGTGTATACAAGGCAATCACTCTACCAACGGAGCTGTATCCCCAACTCCCAGGGTTTCTTTTTGAGGTAATGAAAATGTTCTAAAATTAGATAGAAATGATGGTTGCACAACTCTATGAGTACACTAAAAGTGACTCAACAGTACACTTTATAAGGGTCAATATTATGGTATGTGAAGAATGTGGAGAGAACGCATACAGAAACGGGAGAAAATCTTTGCCACCCGCACGTCAGATAGAGCATTAATCTCCAGATATATAAAGAACTGGAAAACTTAATGCCCCAAACCCAAATAACCCAATTATCAAATGGGCAAAGGAACAGAACAGGCACTTCTATGAATGGTCAACAAATATATGAAAAAATGTTCAATATCTCTAGCAGTTAGAGAAACACATATTAAAAAAACACTGAGATTTCATCTCACTCCAGTCAGAATGGCAATTATCAAGAATACAAGTAACAATAAATGTTGGTGAGGATATGGGGAAAAACGTACACTCACACATTGCTGGAGAGACTGCAAATTGGTGCAACCACTATGGAAAGCAGTATAGAGATTCCTCAGAAAACTTGGAATGGAATCACCATTTAACTCGGTTATCCCATTCCTTGGAATATACCCAAAGAATTAAAATAAGCGTACTACAGTAACATAGCCACATCAATGTTTATAGCAGCTCAATTCACAATAGCTAAGCTATGGAACCAGCTTAGGTGCCCTTCATAAGATGAATGGATAAAGAAAATGTGGCATATATACACAATGGAATATTACTCAGCCATAAAGAGAAATGAAATTATGGCATTTGCTGGTAAACAGATGGAACTGGAGGCTATCATGCTAAGTGAATATAAGCCAATCCCCCAAAAAACAAAGACCAATGTTCTCTTTGATATGCAGATGTTGTGGGGGTGGGGGGATGGGGGGTGTAAGTACTTTGGATTAGACAAAGAGGAATGAAGGGAAAGGAGGGGGAATAGGAAAAGATGATAGAATGAATCAGACATTTTAAATGGTCATGTAATCACATATGCACATACTTTCCTATGTGCATATGTGATTACATGACCATTTAAAAAAAGAAACTAAAAAATAAGAATTTATCTTAAAAAAATAAAAACTGATGACCCTGTTTAAATACAGGTTAAAATTTCCATGATTTGACTGTCTTCTATTATTTCTTTAGGATTATGATGGGCCTAAATAGAGCTGCAACCAAGGATTTTCAGGTGAAGTTATTAGGGCTGTTCTTAACTGAGGTGTGCCATAGACAGTAACAGCAATGCCTTATCTATTCAAGAGGCTATCAAAAAACAGGAAACATATGAGAAAAGGTTTTGCTTTTTATAAAGTCATATAATATAAAACAAAAAATGAAATCACAACTCTGAATTACTCTAATAACGCATGCATTCTCCAGAGGGAATAACATCATCCCCAAAGGAGTGAAAATTGGTTCTTGTGAGGTGAAAAAAATACTATTCTTTTCATGCAATAAGCACAGATTACATATATATACATAAAAAGATATATAGTACATAGTATGGTACTAAAATTTCATTGGGGAGGCACAATTAGGAAAAGAATTCTAAAATCTCTTTAGGTGTGGGAGGTAATGAAAAGACTGAGAAATACTGTTCTAATGCTAGAAATTATTTCATTCTTTGGCTACAGAGTTTCTATTTGTACATGCATGTAAAATGTATAAAATACATCTATATAACTATACTTCACACATTATATAGTTATTGTGAAGGCAAGTTGAAATGTAAAAGTGAGTGATGGTTTAATTTACATTACATATCATCAAAACAAAAAAGCTTTAAAGGCACTGTCAGGTTTGTTTGTGGCACATGTTATATGTTGTCCAGCATCTCAAACTTAGCCACAACCCTATAAACATCAGTTTATGGATGAATCAGTCATTTGTATATTGTCAATAACACTCAGTACGAAACTCTGAAATATTTCACAAT